TGGTGCTTGATAATTACTCTATTTGATAAGAAAAAGTGATAAAACAGACTCAAGCCGAAACATCGTAGGTACAATTTGCAAACGACCAGTAATTTCATCAATAAAAGGCCTCAGGGGGGAATATTAAAAGACAATCATCAACATTACCCCCTAAACTCCCCTAAAAGTTTTACCACTTTCACTAATTAATGCTCCAATCGGTACAACTAAATCCATAGCATGAAAACATTCTCCAATTGGACTGGCTCCAATAATCTCCAGCATTCTCTTGATTCACATTATTCTCCATAAATTATCATTTTCCTCAATTTCAACTATTTCAAAGCGACAATAAACGCCGAAGACTGTATCATTATTTTATTGATTTTTTTTGGCTGCATCTCATCTTTCGTCGTATTACTGAATAAATCTGCCAAATAATATTTTACATTCATCTAAATGATATAAATACTACATTCTCAATATCGATGAAAAAGATAAACCCCTCTACTTCCCTGACTCACACAATATCCGCTGGAAAAAAAAAGAAAAAAAATATATATAAACACGTTTATTCCATTCATTCATCACTCATTCATGAAAAAATTGTCCTTTGGAACAACAAAATAAGGAAGAGTACGTCCTCAGATGTTGCCATGGGGCAATAAAACACGCATTAATGTCGTAGCGTGATTAAAGCGCATAAAAAAACATCAATAATGATTGATAAATCGAGGCAAGGAAGAAAATTCATGACTGATTGTTCGTTATATTTTCCTTAATCTCGAATGCTCCTCCTTTTGAATTATTCCTTCGGCAAAAGAATAAAAAGAAAGAGAAAAAAAAATGTAAATCATTGGTTGATGAGAAAAATTAGGAAATTGTCAATGTTATTAAGCCAATTTCTTCTCATTGTTGTTGGCAACGTAGCCATTGTTGGTTCCATTGCTGTAGCAACTGTTGTACTCCTTATTGTAGATTGTTGTGTACGTTGATACACCATTTTGCTTCAAATTTGTATCACTCTCTTCGAGAACTGGCATGCAGGCGCCGGGGTTTTGACGACGCTTAGAGTCCTGGCCGATGTATTTCTCTTTGTAAAAATCGGAGAATAGACCGAGGAATAGAACACCGTGGAGACCAATCCAGATCATAAAGCTACGTGGGTAGTTGCACTCGGTGAAGAGGAGCTGGAACTGGTGACCCATTATCAACACAAATTGCACCTGAAACGGCATAATTTCATTAATTAGATTCATTTATTGCACGGAAAGAGTACAAAAACCTTTCGTCAACGTTTTTCAGGAAGACAGGGCTCTACAAATGAGACATTTCTCCCTCAAGTTTGCTAGGCTTTAAGTAGCGCCATTAGCTTTATCAATAAATAATTCAAGAGTTCAAAGGCTCGTTTTCCAAGATTATCGTGAAAGTAAAGCTCGACGAACTAAAGCTCAAGTCTTCTCGAACGTTAATAATTAATCCCTTTTATTAAAAGAAAAGTAAAAAGATATTTCGATTCTTATGAGAGCAAAAGCATGTACAACCATTTGAAATTTCAAATAAAGAATCAGAATATTTTGAATACTTCATGTACACGTGCTTCGATCGATTTTGATAGAAGATAGCCATTCATTCGTGTAGTTTATATATTTACGAAAAATTGGTTATACATGTCCCCTGTAAATAGACTTGCAAAAATAG